ACACAACAATGAATACCGGTTACCATGGTACTGGTAACTACACACCTTAAACTTAAGGACCTTAGTCAATTAGTCTAGGCTAAGGCAGACAAACACCTTGCCTCGGCCCATCAGGTGGTGGTATCCACTTGCCTGAGCTTCCCAGAAAATGATAAAGTACTAAGTACTAAGAGATAGGGGTACGAGCTTTTAAGGCATTCCACTACTCATCGGCGAATCGGATTGCTTCTGCATGCTGTCTTCAGCTTCCCGAAGTCTGTTAAAACTGCAGTGTAAGATTTTGCCTGGCTAGCAACACAGACCCTTCCTGTTAAGGGTTTTTTTTTAGGGTTTAGGGGTTAAGGGGTTTGGGGTTTAATTTATTAGGGTTGAAAGTTTAGGGGTTTAGGGGTTTAGATTAAAGATTAAGGGGTTTAGGGTTTTTTAATTGGGGGGTTAGGGGTGTTTAGGGGTTTTGATTAATGAAGGGGTTAAGTTTGGTTTTAGGGTTTAGGGTTTTAGGTTAAGGGGTTTAGGTTAGGGGTTTTAGGGTTTAGGGGTTTAGTAGGGTTATTAAGGGGTTTAAGTTAAGGTTTTATTTAGGGTTTAGGGGTTTTTAGGGGTTTAGGGTTTTAGGGTCTAGGGGTCTGCCCTCGTGCACAATTCAATTTCGCATTTAGAAGCAACGGTAGGACAGTAGGACGGTAGTTAATGTCGTACCTATTGAAATGTTACAGTGAGAGTGGTCATGAATGGTCTCGAGGCTGAGTCTGGACCAGGGCCTCACTCAAGCTGTGCCCTAATCCCTGCCTACTACTAGATCACTACAACACAACGACGAATGACTACAACTACTACTGTCATCAGTCAGACAGGCTACCGGTGACCAGATCCTACAGAAGCGAAAAAAATTGTCAAAGCCAATATTAATAAATGCTGGGCAAGGCCCGACGTCAAACCCTCCAGGCTCCAACCCCATCATCTCAGGAATCTTGGTGGCTGCAGTGACCTGGATCCGCCGGAAGACCTGCCCGTGAAGCAGAAGAAAACGATCCAAGGCATGCTCGTGTCTGTCCTGCAGTCAGTCAGGCATGCGGGGCACTATTTCAATTTCAGAATTGAATTCAGTCATTCAGATCGATTGAGGGCACTGGCGCTGACCGACTGTCTGACTGACTGACAGACATTGACATTGTCATTGATTGATCATTGTGATTTAAATTGCCACTGCCTAAAGTTTAAACTTGATCATGCTCGTGTCAGTCATTATAAATGACTCAGACCAGGGTCAGGGATCGTGTCCATGTTCCAGTTTCCAGGTGCTGGCGCAAGCCCTGAATTCCAACCTCGGCCTGATGTGGGGCCACACCCTCAAGGACTTGATCCCTGGCTGCTGGTGTCAGGCTAGTTGGATTGGAAATAATTGAAATCTGGCTCCGGATACATTTCGATACCTGGGCTACGGATGATTATTCTGGTTACAGGGCTAGTCAGTCATATTTTGATAATTGGTTTTGCCTAGCTCCGTTACCTTGGGTCATTGACTTGAGTTGAATCAAATCACTAGGCTAGGTCAGGTACTGCTACAGCACAATACAATAATATCTTCATTCTTATGGTTAGTATTATTACTATTACACTGAACTTGTTATTCATTTTAATTATTCCCCTGTGAGCACCGACTTTGTTATTGAACCAATTCCCACTGACTGACTGACTGACAATAATTTAATAATACTATACTGTTGGCCCAGGAAGCCGGTCAACAGACTGCTTCCCTTCAAGAGTGCAAGCGAGACGCTGCCGCCGCCTGAGCAGGGCCTGAACCCTCCGCGAGCAGATCAGCGCATGATCCTGACGATTGCCCCCAGGCAGTAATCAAATCAGTAATCAGACTCAGACTCAGTCAGTCAGTCAGCAGGCAATTAACTAATTATTGGCAGTAGTCTAACTAGTTAATTGTCTAATTATACAACAGCTATTGTTATTACTGTTAGTTGCAGCGTCCATCTGTCTTCCTTGCTTAAAGAATGAGCTGTGTCTTAATTATTAATGATGTCGTGAGGATGCAATAGCTATAAATTAAATAAGATTGTTATACTTGCAATTACAGTTACTGTTACATTACTTACACGTAGCACGATGTAGAATGGTCCTATCCTAGCTGCTAGCAGGCGAGTGGATATTCGGAAACTTAAGTCAATTGTAAGTAAGGAATCGAATGGTCGGTGTCCGAGAACAGAATATGGGGAATGTTGAATTTGTAACTAGTAGACTCGACTTGTGTCGTGGTTTGACGACTTCATTATACTAATACTAACTAGACTATGTATGTGTCATTGAGAATGTTGCGGACGAAACAGACAGAGTCTCAGAGTCTGTACTGTATTCTGTATGTCTGTCTGAGTCATCTGACTGTCAAACTTGGACGTGTAACATCGCATTAAGGCGGCTGACGAGGAAGCCCTACCATTTAAGCTGGTACATTGCCTCAGTCATGAACTCGGCCTACGAATCTATGCCTTCCCTGAGAGTACTCATTCCTCATGGAATGATTGCCGGAACTCCCTTCGCCGTGGTGGGTTACAATATGTGCTCCTGTTGTCGGGGCTGTTGGCCAACTGTTCACATGGACCATACAGCAGCGGCAAGAACCGCCAAACGTTGGAGGAAGCCGCTGAGAGCCTAGGGAGCAGCATGTCGCGTGAGTCCTTCGACACACTACTCGATGAAATGATGGCGGACATGGGATGTGACCACACAGACCCACGGCTTCCAGGGTCTCCCAGTGAGATTTCAAAGCTGCCCGCCATCCAGCGTTTGCCATCTTATGCAGGGGCCTCGGTTTTAATTTTATATATTCTAACAAATAAAACTTAACTTTAATAAATAATTTGTCTGAGAGTATAATTACTGTATGGAACTGAGACCTGAGATATCCGTTCAAATAAGTTTAAGAGACATCAATTTTATGACACCACAGGGACGGTCGCGGAGACTGAGAGAGAGAGACTCATTCAGACTCAGACTCAGACCGTGACACGCAGACAGACAGGCAGGCAGACTGACAGAGACAGAGACTCTGCTGAATCTGCATTGTGTGACATGAATGGAGTCGTTGTTTGTCTGTCTAGTCAAAGACGATTCCACTAAAGGCAGGCTCAGGGTTCGGTTTCAGTCCGTGTGAGGTTCGACTGTATCCATCTTGTCTGGGTACATTTTTTTAGTATAGTGCTATTCATATTTAATTGGTTATCATCTTTTAAATTAAAATTAAGTCATTCCCCGATCTAAGATAATTGATTTCAACCGGATGCCAGGGTTCACATCCTGGGTCATGTTATTTTCCGATTCACTGAAGTGAGTAATAAGAAGGTCAGATACCCAGAATCACTCAAACCGGGCACGGCTGGTGATCGTGCCGGAGTTTTGGTGATTTGTTTGATTCTGTAATAATTCTGATTCTGAAGTATTATAAGAATATAATAATACGACCTGCTTCAGTAGACTCAGACTCAGACTCAATGCAAATATATTATTGGAATAGTACATACATCGACTCTGTCATCATCCTGAATAGCCTTCGTCTGCTAATTACTCAGATTATTGAGAACTGTATGTGCATTTGACCACAAACAGATAAGGCATGTTGTGGGCATAGGCACGTCATTGTCAAGTCATTGTGTGTGGCAATCAGCCTCCCAACTTGAGTTTGTAATTTCGTTAAGCATCAGTGACAATTGATCAGAGTAGGTCGAGTCGGTCCGGTTCAGCATAATAACTACTTAATTGATAATACCTTCAGCCGCTAGGTCCTGGGTCGGTCCTTAGGTGCTAAGTTTAAGTACTAAGGCCTAAGTCCTAGGTCCTAGGCAACCGATTGATGATAATGATAATATAACCGTAGACTAAGAAATTATAATAAGCTTTAGATTAATGACGATGTAGCAAGTATGGTTCTACTGTCTGAGTCTGAGTACAATGTTACAAGCATTAAAACATCTCCGGCCACTGTATAGCATTATAGTATTTTGATTTGTTAGAATAATAACTAGCAAAAGTATAGTAGAAGGAAATTATATTTTTTAATAGACTTACTCCAGCAATCTACTCTAACCTAAGTCAGTAGTAGTACTGTCGTTGATTATCAGACTGGCTCTGTTACATACCTGTCTTACAAACCCAACACCCCCAACCCTGAAATGAATGACTTGTTTTACCGATACTGGCTGGGGCAGGTGAAGACGAAGTCTTGGTTTGGGTCCGTGGAGGTAATGGACTACCTGTGTGACAATTGGACGTTGCTCGGCACCGTCCTCGACCACGCGCTCCAAAAGCTCGGAGATGCAGCTCGTCCAGATAAGGCTTCGATGTTTTTCCTTCGTTATTGGTGCAGAGATTAGTGATGAACAGATTCTGATTCTAGGCCAGCTGGGTTATTATCAATCAATTCGAAATTTGGTCAGTCTGAATTCGGAGAGTCTGAAATTCTGATATGCAGGAGGTCAATTGAATTGAGTCTCTTAGCAGGGACTACAATCATTGCCACTGTTGCTGTTGCCTTTCAAACTTTCGACAGTCCGACAAGCGCTTTACTGGCTTTCATTTCAAACTGTCGTCTGAGAGACTGCCTTGAAACTCTAGTCCACTCGAGACCTACTACTGTTAACTATTATGTCTAGCGAGTCAGACAGACAAAACTACTTTTGCCATAAATCAATAAAGCAGTACGGGAGCATCAATGACAATGACAATCATCATCGCACTGTCACTGGAATCTGATTTGTCAATATAGTTTATAATAAATCATCAGTCATCAATTGAATTGAATCAACTGTCAACACCATCTGTCTATGTAAGTAAAACCCCTGCACTTAGACTTGTGAGCCCAGCCCCAGGACGACAGTGGCGATGAGGGCGCCGAGCCAGGAGATGAGGGTGTGGTTGTCGGAGATGTGGGTGGCAGCCTGCCGCAGTCTAAGTCAGAGTTGCTGAAGCTGCGCCAAAGCTTCAAAAACACCATGCATCTTTGTGCTCGACTCTATGCTGATCGATCCCTGCAAGAAGACTTGAGAATGGTCAGAGCTGCTTCTGGCCCTGTCATGCATGAGTACCACGACACACTGCAGCGGCAGAAGAGTCAGGAGTCAGCCACCACTGTTAGGTCAATCAATTAATAATAATTACTTGGTCATTGATCATTTAATGCAGTATTGCCAAGGGCCTCCATGTTACATATTACAGTTCAATGACATAAAATGTAAATTACATGACATTCAATCTGTACGACAGGAGGACTAAGGCTTTTAAGGACAAGGGCAATTCCAGCTGCAACTTTCATTGAACTGGTTGAGCAGCATCTGTCTGTCTGTTGTTTATTAAAGTTTAAATATAGAAATTTGAATAGTATAACGGTTTAATTGACCCATAACAATTATTAGTGGTCGTCACTGCAGATTGAATTTGAACATCTCCGGGAAGTTGGTAGTGTGGCGCGACTGTCAACTTCACTATTTAAAACAAACATATCATGTTTATGTTGAACATTGCACCATTACACATGAGTCAGGGTCGCCACTGGAGGCACTTCACGGTGACAGTGAGGGTCTGAGACTGGCCCGGCCATTAATTACATACACGGTTTATATTAAATTTAAAGTTTAGGGTTGAGGCTTTTTAGATTATTAATTTATTTTAAGGTTTAGGGTTTAAAGATTGATTAGGGTTTCTGATTAATGGGTTTAAAGTTTAGTATTAAGGGGTGGGTCCTTAGGTCCTTTGATTCACTGATTGTTAGCTATGCTATTATTACTTTTGTTGATTAAGATTACTTAATTATCTATATTGACAGTAGTTAGCTTAACTCTTTCTGAGATGCTGTAAGATTCCAATGGACGGGACTTTCATGGGAAGTCGACCTGTCGATATGAGTCGAGACCAGTGCCACGCTTTCCTATGTCAACCGGGGAATGTGTTTGTTGCCTTCTCAGCGATTAGATATGTGGCCTACTACCCACTAGTTACCTTATTGCTTAATATAGTTTAGTAATTGTTACATTAACACCAAATAATATTTGTGATCATCGGGTTTAACTAGATGGCTAAACAGTTGCAATACTTATTATTAATCACTCCCTCGAAGTACTACGGCACGACATCTAATAACTATTTAATATTAATATAACTGACTACAGCTTTTTGTAACAGTACAAAGAGTACAGGATGTAGATCTCCAGTGGGTGCAACTCTAAGGCTTTAAGGCTTGCTGCAGGTGACAACAGAACACACCACTTAGCTTGGCCACATGAGTTGGATTCAGCAGACTAATAATAAGGGACCTAGGCTTAATTTGGAATTATTCGGTTTCGGACTTCAGGGCAGGGTGTCTGTTTAAACTGTTTCATACCTAGGCATGACGATGTGGGCCAGTTCGGCTTTATGACTGTAGTTACTTGAATCTGAATTTGAGACCTTCTAGTTACTTAACTTACCTAAGGACCTAAGCCACCTTGACAGATTCATTCAACATTGACTATCTAATTGTCTAGTCTAAGTCTTATGGAGTTATTGACAATAATAATAATTGAGGATTTGTGAACAACCTGTCAAGTTCTTATTCTTTGTAAACTTAGGTTCTTAGAAAGTCGAGACCGTGATTTATTATGATGGGTTGAATAATAATGGCCTGAGTCTCTATTTAGAAATTTAGCCAAGGCCGGGCCGCCTTCGGTCCAAGAGCAGCAAGCTGAGGTCGTCGAGAGTAGGCCTTGTCGGTCGGTTTATTATATAAGTATCATCATTATTAATATTTGCTGAACTCGATTCAACCTGACAATAATAACAATAGTCTAGACTAGATCAGATCTAGTTGTTGAGTCTTGCATTATTCTAACCATGGTAATCTTAAAAGTTTAACTGTAGGATCCGGCACAAAGTTGCAAAGGTTTGCTAGTCACTGTGTCAGTCACTTATAATGATAATAACAACCACTGTCACTGTATTACAATACTTAATTAAACTTAGTCTTAGTACTTAGTAACTAAGTACTAAGACTAAGTTTCATTAAGTATTATTGGTACTTAGATTAGAGATGATGCCAAGCTCAGCTCGCCAGCGGGAGCCGTGTTAAACTTGCTATCATAGTCTTAGTAAGTAATCAGTAGTGTGCCAGTGGAGGCATCAATAATAAGCCTTAAGACACCAGCTGATTGATAACTCTTCAATACTAATTAATAGTTTGCCGATTACATAATTATATTATATATTAGGGGTTTGACCTGATATGTAATCTGTACCTGTAAACCACTGTAGCCTGTAGTAAGTGTACACTCACTATAATATTACCATAGTATCATAGTACACCGTTACACCTGGGTACCCAAGCCAAGGGAGTCTTGCAGCCCCACTGCTAATACTACTGTCACTATGTCTGTCTTATGATTATGTCTAAGAGTCTATTGTTCATCACAACTCCTATGGTCATCCTAAACCAAAGGGGGTTCAGGACGGCACGACCCAGTTTCAAGCTGGCCGCGCCAGCGGCCATTCCTGGTGGGCAAAAGTCCAGAAGACCCTGCAACTCGTTCATGACCGTTCGGCCCTTCAAGGCTGCGGCATCACAACCGTGTCTACATCGGCGCCCACCCTTCTCCCTGAAGATCCAGACGCCTCTGAACAATGGTTTTTGGACGAGTGCAAAAAGCTTGAGAAGTACTGGCGAGTGCTGGTTGAGATTGGGTCTGCTCGCAGCTGGTCACAGATTCAGTTCCACGTCTGCCAGCCGAATTCCTTGGCAGTCGTTCTCCTGAACGACCGGTCAGCTGCTCAGGGCGGCTTGGATGTGATCAGAGAGGTGCGGGATGCTGTGCTGGCAGCGGAACGAGCTGCAGCACCCGATAGTGGGACCCCTCCAGCAGATCGAGAAGCAATTTCTGCATTACTGCAGGATTTAGCATGGAATCGACTACAAACTGCCCGTGAATCTTGGCTGGTGTGTGAGGAAGGACAATGGCGGGCGGACGACCCTGACATCCAGCTACAAGCTGAGCACCTGTTTTCAGGTGAAGCCAATACGAAGTGGAGCCTGGAGGACCTATTTAGTCACCTCGCCACCATCGCCCGCAGCACGAATCTTCCAACGGCGATGAATAAGACTCTCGCCTGCATTGGACCGGAGGCTGACTAGCCTTGGGCCTCCAGTACTCTATCATTATCTACTAGAACTGACAGATGCATCGATGCAGACTCAGATCTGAATCAGCACACAATCTCAATCTTCTATCAATCAATCGTCGAGTCATGCCATCAAGGACTAAATGAATCAAGAGGTGCTTCTAAGGTGTCTAAATCTATTGACTATGAGCTGTTTGTTTCATACAATGTTCTGATGGTTACACCGTTACACCATTGACACTAAGATGGACCCGTTGGTTTTACTGTACGACCCTGGAAAGAAGCACAGACTGGCCTGTGCTTCGGACGACGTTGAGAGATCACCACGATCACCCACGGAGTTTGAAGGAGCCTGACCTGGGTGACTTGGCTGGCAAAGCTTTCAGGTCCGGATCTACACGGGACCTCGACAAGGAGGTACGTGCAGGGCTGGTGCACATGAAACTACAGTGCTCCAAGAAGGCAGGTACTGCATCGAACCAAACTGCAGCGGCCGCGACGGCCTTGCTGAGACATTTGAGCTTGGGCACGCGAGGATTTGCGCCAATCGGTGCATCCTGGACAGGCCAGCCAGGCATTGAAATTTAGATTCGGTGCTGAAATTCGTTTCAACATTCGACTGTCCAGGGCCAGGGTTTCAGATTTTATTCAAGGCTACAGTATTACTATTATTGCTTACCGTTACCTTGTGCCTCTGATTCCAGTATTACACAGGTTTCATTATCATGAATAAATAGTATAATTAGGCCGAGAGGTCAGGCCCTTCATGCCAAGGTCCAGGGTTTCATTATATACTGGTTTTAAGTTTTGATTTTTGATGAATTAATTAATTTAGATCATCGTTACGGTATTATCATAATTCATAATACAATCTGTAATTTCCGTTCTTAATAATTAAATTATAGTATAAAGTATAATATAGTTGGTCTAAATCTAGTTGTAGACGGTTAGTTAAAGTTACTTTAGCCCTGAAGTTCTGAATGACTGATGCTGACAGACAGTCTGGGATGATGTAGACCCAACTAACTGCAGCAGAAGACTTTAGAATAATTATAGTGTTTAGTAACTTAGTTTCATCGGGTGAACCAAGCCACCAAACAAGAGTCTAAGAGAGTGAGGAGCCATTATTGTATTAGAATATGACATTATGAGGCTGTTCAGCTGAGTGCTTCCTGGTCCATTGTCCATTGGCCATACTTTAAACATTACGAATCAACAAATCATCAAACTGACTGTAGCAGGTCTGTCTTAGTCTAATCTAGGTTACCAAGTTCAAGTTTAGTCATTTAATAAATTTCAAGGAAACCCACTGAATTACACTGATTAAGCCTGAAGTTACTAGCCCAACCCAAATCAAAGCCAAATTCTGATCTTAATTCATTAAATCTACGAAGAATTTGAGTCTTGAGAGTACCTGAATCTTGCAGATTCTAATATTACGATGAAATTATTAGGCAGCGCGGCCCTGACTGAAATCTGAAACCCCGGCCCCTCAGCCAGCCTCAGCTTCGAGGCTTCGGGCCGATCTTGATCAGGCCTCAGTATCTAATTAGTATAAATTATTATCTTACCCTGATCCCGTTAAACCTGCCGGTCCCAATCTCGGAAATTGTATTTATTCAATGCTCCCATGCCTTATTCCCAATTAGAATTTCTGGAACAGTCTGACTCTGACGCTGACTGGCTGCCTGTGACATCTTCAGCGTCTCCAAATCTGGGCCTTCGTTGTTTTTTTATGCCATGCTTGAAACTTGAACTCTAGTCATTAGTCTAAGGAGTCTAAGTACTAAGACTCTAAGCCTATAACTATAACCATTCTAATATAAGACTCCGGGCCTTACTATCATGTGACAATTTGATTTACAGTATTTCAATGAATCAACCTTCAAACATCCTTATTGTATTCGATGATTCAAGCCGAGTCTGAGCCAGACCCCTGCATCTTTAAATTAAACTACTGTGCCCGTGAATGCAAATACCTAAGCAATGTTAACCTGTGTACCCATCTGACTGACTCGGTCCAATTAAAATGCACTCCAGACTCCAATCGAAGTAACCAACTTACAAGAAAACTTGACCTTGGTAGTCAGGGTCTTGGGGTTCTAACTTAAATTAAACTATTTCAGAAGCTACGGACTATGAGATTGCAATTAAATTAGGATAATCAATTATTATTATTACTATTTTTATGTAGCATCTGAGCTCAGCCTCGTCCCAGCAGGTGTGTTCTTGACGAAGGGCAGTGTTTTCTGCAACACGGAGACCAGCCAGACTGCAGTGTCCCTGGGCTTTCGCAAGTATGGTGCTTTGATGGCCCCACTGGTTGAACACCGTGTCGGGGGGAAGGCCTGAGTGTGATTCCGACAATTGATTGAACCATAATTGGTTGGTGATGGCGGGAGTAAGTATGCTGCACATGTTGCAAGTGGCTTCATTCGTGCTCATTGTCCTGAAATAATAACCAACCGTTTCAACCAGGTAACCAATCGTCAGCAACCTTGTCACCCCTGGTTACTAACAGTGTTCTGTAGTCGCAAAATTGTGACCTGTAAATTGATCCGAACCAACAATGACGACTCGTCCCGAATATGATTATCTGAATTCAACTTAAATGTATTTAAATTAAATTAGTTAAGTACAGACAAGACTATACTGAATTTTAAATGGGTGATGTTTGACTTTGAGTATTTAGTGAATAACTGTTGTGTTGATTGATTAGTTTATTAAATTAATTATGATGTCTTAGTATTGGCTCAAGTGGATTTAGTTCGTTTGAAACTTTGACAGTTTGGGCTGGGGTCTACGATGCAGGCAATAGTCAATCGGTTGGGTTACTATGTTAAGAGGGTCTTTCATTATTTTCTGTATGTTAATTACTAATAAATACATAACCTGAATACTTGCAGCTCGACAATGTTCCTCTAGTATCAAATAATTAAGCTGGGCTTATTGTTTTTTCCTGAAATAAATTGTAGGTAATAGTTCCGGAAGGTCAATAATCCTTGGACAATAATAACAATGACAAAATCAGCCTCATTATTTATGTCACTGACTCATCCCGATTCTGTCAGTGTCTCACGGCCTCGAGCTGACCTAACTGCAAACTAAGTATTCAAAACAAATAAGTAGAATAATGAATAATTATCGAATTAAACACGACCTAAACCCTGTAACCCTAAGCCTGGATTCTGACGATTCAGTCAGTTCATTCAGCAGGACCACACCCACATCGATTATTATTAGTTATGACCTGATTTCTGATTGACTCAGTGAGTCGAGTCCAAGTCAAGACAAGATTCTAGTCGTCAACGTTTTAGTAAACAAAATTATTCGTTGTAGCATTTATTTTTTTGTGTAACTGCAAGATTTCCGTGAAGATTGGTCTTCTGGCAGGTCTTCTTCAGTGTCGAGGGCAACTCGGCGCCGAGGGCGCCACTGTGGGCGTTCCAAACCAGCCTCGCTGAGCCTCTCTGGCTCAACTGCAACAGTGCTGTGTGCCACCCGCTTTCGATTCCGAACGAACTGCGCGGCTACGTGTTGGTGCTTGAGCAGGTGGAGGCCCCACAAGATCCGATAAAATCCGCCTTGAAGAGCGGAGTCTTCCTCACACTGCAGCACCTCAAGGCATTGCATGCTGAATTCCGGTTCCCGCTGCCTAAGAAAGGCAAAGGCGGAGGCAAACATGGCTCGGTGATCAAGTCGGACTATGCAGCAGCTTTACTGTTGCATTTCTTCGGCGACAAGATGACGGATTCAGAGCGAGGCAGGATGATGGACTCCTTGATGGGCAAGGGCTGGGACAGAAATTGGCAAGCCTGCCAGCACTCCAGCAGCATCCTGGAGGCATACAAAGCCTTGGACCCGGTGGACAAGCCTGCTTTTGTGAAGCTTGCCGCAGTGGCGGCTGACGAAGAGAAACTGAAAGAGGCGCGAGCTGAGCGTGCAGATGTGAAATTAGGGCACATGAGCCCCCAGCACGAGACCCCGCAGATCCTGCGGAAGCTTTTGCCGACCGGCGCCTCGTTCCAGTGTCGGTTCAATCGCCATCCCCAGCAAATGCGGTACCAGGTCTACATCTTCGACATTGAGACTGGCTCTTCGGCTTGACCAGAATTTCGAGCTTTATTCATTCAATCCTTCGCCGAAGGTCGATTCTGTCTGATTCTGAGCTGTTGACTCCCCCGTAAAATCACTGTACTGTTCGGTCTTTGTCTGTCTGTCTGGTTTTGATTCCAACGTCTGAGTCTGTTCTGTGCAGTCAGAGGTTCGCTCTTCTGAGTTTTTTATCATTATTTTAGAATCTTAGTCTTTGAATGAAGTGTAAAATCCATTATCTATTAATTATTATTAGACATAACTAATACCAAGTCCGACGACCTGCTTAACGGTTAGTTCCTCAATAGCCTTTGAAGCTATAGTCTAAGAACACAAGACCGAAACAAATCCTCTAAGACACCAAGCCATGGGGACCACAGAAGTAATAAATGTAATTTAACTACTGACTGAGACCCCCCCCCCCCTGTCCTGATGCAGCAGCAAGGCACCTCCAAGTCCCGTGCTGCTCGATGGGAGGGCGTGCGCAGGCAGCTCACGGAAGCAGAAGCATTGCAGGAGTGTGTCAGCTGGTGCTGGGACATGGTTCAGGATGCCTACGATGTCGCTGAGGATGTTTTGGCCAGGAGGCCAGGGACATCAATCAAACCTAGACTCAGAGTTTTCATGAACCGACTGTTGACACTGTCAATTTGACTCCTTAGGTTTAAATTTAAAGTTGCTAGAGGATTCCATTGGCAATTGGGTCCATCTTATCATTCATCTCGCTCTCCGGGGTCACAGAATTCCTTGGACCTTAATTTTTATTAATTAGTTTAGTCTAGACTAAGCCACTAACTAAACTAACTTAAAAGAAAACTTCCATCTAGTTCAAGACTCTGGCTGGGGGATGCTGAGTTTCAGACCCTGGGTACACTGGAGTTGAATCCTGACTGGCTCACTGTTGCTCAGAGTAGTTGTTATTAAAATTTATACACCTACACATTATGGCATTTGAATAGTTTTAATTAAAGTTTGCTAGTGTTTAACCGTATAATGATATTATGATGAGTGGGCTGGTTTGGCTCTTTTGCCTTCGGGTTGGGGTTTGGATTGAAGTTTGAGTCGGGTCCTGAGATTATACATAATTATTAAGATTGACTTGCAAGTTAGCTTCGACTCGAGGGTTGGGATTCGATGTCTTAATATAATTTATGTCGCAAATAAATAACAATAATAAATACTGCCAGCAGTCATTTTTAGACCTAGGTCCTTCGGATCAAAGTCTATTTCAGCACAATGGAGGCGATCTTATTATTCTTATTAGGCACGGCTAGGGCATCGGATGCCGCTTCACTTCACACGTCAGCGATTCAGAGCTTTGAAACAGTAACGGTTAAGTTGTCGAATTCACACTGAAAGACATCGGCCGGGATCACTGAGTTGAAATACTAATTTCCTACTGTAAAACTTTATTGCCATTGAATTGGGTTTTTAGAGTTTAGGGTTTAGCTTTCACTTGAAATCATCAGGGCCTCAGGCTCAGGGGTTGGGACATTATCATTATCGTTTATGGTTACCTGGTTGTTGATGTTGTTCTGGCTTCTGGCTTGCAGCACTGCGCTGCACGGGGCGGGCACGGGCCGCAGTCCATCCGACAGTCCGACAAACAAACAAATCGTAGTAGTTTTAATTTTTATTTATTATTTAACCCTGAACCCTTTACTAACTGTAGTCGTATCCCTGGGCTGATGACACTGCCTCTGCTCGAGGTATGCCCCTTATACCTTAACCTGCGGGTTCTTAGACATATTATTTTTTCTGTCGTGTTAAACTGATCAGAACTAAATTTCAATAAGTCTTCCATGAGAGCCTTACAGAAGCCTTGGCAACACCTATGAATCAACCCTGAGCTCGCATTCAGCCACATATGTCTCCATCAGAAGTACTCCCTGAACCGTGGCACCATCGGTCGGTCATTGCTGCTGCTAGCTTCATCCCTGCATCAATGCAGTCCCCTTGAAGCCTTACACTTCTTACTAGCCGATTCCTGTATTCAGTAGTGGTAAAGGTCTATCACAAGGATTTTCAATTTTCTGGATTGATTCAGCTCGACAACTTGACATAAATTACCAGGCCAACCTTCCGGGACATCGAGGATGTGGTCAACCTGTTCGACAAAACGACTGGCTACCGGACCCCACCTGTTGGAGCCGAAGCAGCTTCACCGGCCCGTGCAACACCTGAGACTGAGAGTCGTGTCCGCAGCAAGCCTTCCTTCAGACACCTAGACATGAGTGTCGATCCCCCGGAGCTGGTCAGTGCCGCTGCCAGCTCGTCAAGTCAGCATGCCACTGCCAGTGCCAGGCCCAGTGCTGCACCGGCCGAAGTTGAGAGTCAGAATGACTCTGAACCCCCTGCTGCATCCAGAGCATCAGAACCAAGAGGACGAGCCAGAGGCAGGAGTCGTGGGACGGCTCAGCCGAAGACGAAGACGACGACGACTAAGACGACATCGACTCCGAAGGGTAAAGCTGCTGCGCCCGAGCCGCCGAAGGCTGGCCGCAAAAGACGGAGCTCGGAAATTTGAAATGCGTGATCAGAAGCATGTGATCTTCAGACTTCAGAGACTGCATTCAGTGCGCGGACTCCCGAGCCAGTGCGGTGAAAGAAAGGTTGATTCATGTTCTGCCACCACCAAGCCCTTGGAGTGGAGACTGTATTTTTAATTATAGGGCTAGAAGCTTCAGGGTTTTATAGGTTGGGGTCACAGTTTGAGTTTCGGCTTCGGAGGGCTTCCTGACATCTTTGGGATGGCACACACAAGCCAATGATCGGCGGCAAATTGGTGGAGGCGGGGGCGGCTTTTGAGTTTACGGGGTCTTAGGTTTCTGAGATTCTGAGGGTTCAGCAGTACAACTGGCACTTCCAAGGAATTGTCATGGTCCTCAAGGTAATTCATCTCTAAATATTTAGAGAAAGGGGGCCAGGCCGAACAGGGTCAGGCTAGGACCCCCTGAACAAAGGCATCCCCCAACATAGTATTATAATGCTAGGAATCCCCCAAAACAGTATTTTGATTCATTGAGGCATGCACCAAAATCAAGGCCATAAATAATTCGAACTTTGGGGGTTCTTTGTGGTACACTGATGATTCACTGACAACCCCCAAAATAGTGAATAGGCTTTGTAATTAAATGCAACTAATAAAATCTATGCTCCTAAACCATAAACCCTAAACCACTTCTATAATATTAAAGCATTCAGGTTGAAGGCTTAGGGATAGGGATGTACTATGTACGTAATTCTGTTTAGGGTTTAGGGTTTAAGGCTCGAGGATTCAAGGTGTGGGGGTCTAGCTGGGTCTCAGAAGGCTAAAAGTTTAGACTTTGAGCTTCAGCGCTTCGGATGGAGGGCCTATTTAAGATGCAGTAATGTAGAGGCCGTATGATACGAGTTAGAATCGGGCATTGGGGCATGTTGCGCTACATGTTAGGGTTTAGGGTTTAGGGGAACCCCCCAAGAAAATAGTATAGGCAGTTATTTAGGCCCCTATAGTAGCCCTTTCTCCGCTGAGCCCGGCGCTCCTGAGGTCCTAAGACTCCGAGACCCTAAATTACTAAACCCTAAACCCTACCTAGGGCTTGGGGATTAGGGTTTAGGGGTTTAGGGGTTTAGGGTGTACCTGTGACTCCAAACCCAACAAAAGTAGTAGGTTATGACCCCTTAATTGGAGGGTGGAACCCTTAAGGCGGTAGGTTTCTGGATCCCCAGGTAAACCCTGCAACCGGAGCCTCCTGAGCACAATCTCTACCTAGAGTCTTAGAGTGTCTTACACCCTACCCCTTCTTTAGGGTACACCGGTACACCTAGTTTGATGGTTCGGATCTGTTAAAGACAAAGGTAGATACCCTTAAAAAGGGGTAGGGTGCGAGCCTACTGGTCTTCCGTAAACACCTCACACCCTAAACCGTGAATCCATAAACCTAGCATTTTAAGGGTTATACCCTCTATTTAAGGGGTCATAACCTACTATTTTGTAGGGTTTGGGGGTTAGGTAAACCCTCAGACCATAAAGCCACACTTTGCATCGGCGCCTGGTTTGCATCGGTGGCGACCTGCTCATACAGGCCCCCCGGATTGACCTGAAGACAGCGGCAAATAGGGATATAGGAGATACTGTTGGTGATATAAAATCCCGCATTACCTTAAGGACTCTAAGTATGGGAATTATAGTATATTCCTTATTATGGGTAATGCTGGATTTATATCATCAACCGTAGGGTTTGGGTTTGGGATTTGAAGGTTTAGGGTTTGGGATTTGGTGGTTTAGGCTTTGTAGTCACAGTCTCCCAGGCTCGAACCAAAACCCATGTGAGCCGTCTGTTGAGGCAGCGGGGTTCGACGACTATCTGTTACATCAATCCCGGAGCGTTGTCTGTTTTGCGAACAGAAAACCGGTCAACCAGAAATACTAGAATGCAATAAAAATTCGGAATCTTCCTAGACTTTAACGATTTAGTCACAGCTGTGCACTTTGGTTTGCCTTTGTCTACAGGACGACCAGGGCCGCATTAGTGGTGCGAGGTGATTTATTAAGCTGTAAGGTGGTTAGCGTTTCTGGGCAAGTCGCACAATCGCTAAGGGGACACATGTGCCCATCTAGCATAAACTTCGCCCTTCAAGGCCTAGATACCTGGAGGGCTCAGGAGCACATGGACCATTGGGGCGATGGAGGGGGCAAGGAACTTTTGAGCCACGAAGCCACATCCACAAAGTCACGTTACAGTTACAACCCGAAACGCCTAATATAGGTTTACTGTAGTTATATAGGGGTCTATGTGTGCGTACCACTACGAAAACGCGAAGTATTTAAACCTATATACGGCTCAGTTATATACATCCTAGCACCCTGTTGTCCAACAGCATCTGAAGCTGTAATTAGGAAAAGTCTACTTAGGGTATTTATTAAACCCCAAGGATAACAGTACTTACTCAGTCCCCCTAAACTGTAAGCCCTAAATCTAGGACATTTTCAGGTGGGTTGTTGCCGTTATAGGAGCCTTCTAGAAGGT